GAGAAATCGCTTATAATATTTAAAGTGGAAGTGAAACAGCTAAATTTACATATGAAATCGGAGTGTGAAGACTTAACTGTCAAGAATGAGATCTCTACAGTTTTCTAATCTAGACATCTTGTCAGACAGCACAGCCAGGATCTGACCTCAGCTGCAGTTAAAGCAGTACTGCTTGATCAAGCACTTGACCATCTTGTGATTTGGATATTGAGCCATTGCCCTGTGTAATGTGCAATGTGGTAAGCTAATTAGCTTGTAGTGCTGCCCCTTCTTATCGCAGTTAAATCCTTTTCTGCTAAAGTCTACTATTAAAAAAAAAAAGAAGCTGATCCAGTATTTAGAAATAAATGTAAGGATATTTTAAATGCATTACTGTGTTAAATTTGTTATTTTATTTCTGGCTACACATATGCATTTTGTTGTATCTATTAAAATTCTACGAGCAATTAAATACTTTTTTTTTTTCCTTTAGCTTAAAGTGAACTAGACTTTTTAAACTTAAAAAAATGTCTACAAGCAAACACCACAAATTTCCCATACATAACATCCCCCTATGCGTCAGAACTGCCCTTAGTAAGCACTGAGCCACTCATTGAATAGGGTCAATGTCAAGTAATGCCAGGTAAATCAAGGATGGTAGATTGCAATGATTGGTACCATAAAGAGCTTAGAACCACAACTGTCTCCCAAGCCATTGGTTGGGGATCACTCGTACTGTTTACTGTCCTACAGTTTGCTATTGAATACTGGGACCCCAGTAACAAAATTAAACTAAATCATACAGGGATATTTAGAAATCCCTATAAGTTCTGTCAGTCATGCACTTGGTCAATAGGTCTTTTACTTTAAAACGTTTTAAAAGTAGAGTACAGGTTTACTTTTAACAGAGTGTCTAAAATGGAATGTTTCTTACTAATAGACTTGGGGAGTTCTCTCTGTTTTTTTTATAATTTAAAAGGGTAAAACATTTGAAAATTAAACTCCAGCCATGAAATGTAAACCTGCCCCACAATATGCAGAGAAGTTGTTTCAATTGTTAAGGAGCATTGAGTGCTTCGTTGTTTCTGACATTTTCCCATAATGCTTGTTTCCATGCAACAGTTTCTCCCCTACGGATAATAAATTTGCTACCTGTTCAGATGACGGCACAGTTAGGATTTGGGATTTTCTTCGTTGCCACGAGGAGAGAATACTGCGAGGTATGTTGATTGCTCTCTGAAAGCAACTATTTTGATGGTGTGTCTTTAAGTAAAGCTTGCTACTATTTTAAGATTTTGGTTACTGTTTAGTTTTACATTAGTATGTATAACCACTACATGACTGTTCAGAGAGGACCTGACACCAAACCAAATCACTGATAACTGAACATCACAAACAAGTGTACATATAATTTTATATGCTGTGTAGTCAGGCAAAGATACTGTGGATTACCATTTATATAGATGCAGAATATAAGGAATACTTGAAAACATTTGTAAAGTGTAAACAGAAGGCGGAAAAAGCCTGGAAAATTAAGTCCAGAGCTTTAGTAGCCCATATTGACAAAAAAGGTGTTTACTGCCTTGTCACCAGCCTAAGGTATCCCCTCCAAGTAATATTTAGCATGGGTTTTTTGTTTTTGTTTTTTTAAACGAGGGATAAGATTAGAATGGTCTAATGTTTTTTGCATATGTT